CTTTCTATAGTGTATAAACCAGAAGTAGAGTGCTTTCTATAGTGTATACCAGAATTACAGTGCTTTCTGAAGTGTATACCAGAATTACAGTGCTTTCTGAAGTGTATACCAGAATTAGTGCTTTCAGAAGTGTATACCAGAAGTAAAGTGCTTTCTGAAGTGTATACCAGAAGTAAAGTGCTTTCTGAAGTGTATACCAGAAGTAAAGTGCTTTCTGAAGTGTATACCAGAAGTACAGTGCTTCCTGAAGTGTATACCAGAAGTACAGTGCTTCCTGAAATGTATACCAGAAATACAGTGCTTTCTGAATTGTATACCAGATATTTTAATTAGTCATCTACTTTTCAAAACCTCAGTAAGTGACAAACTAATGAAGATGAACAGAACCCATAACAATAACCATTGTACATCATTTTATCAAAATTTTCATATTTCACACATCCCAAATGTGCATTTCGTTTTTGTACTCTGGGTAGAATTTTATTTTAATTCCAAACTTATTGTTATCTACTTTTGTAATTCTACTTCCCTTCCGCCATGGTCATTCTGCTACTTTTATTACAGTTGTAAAAAATACCAATTAGATCATTAAAACATATTTTTTATTGTTTCAGAATGTGTTTCTTTAGTTTAAACTCTCATGACTATGGTAATCTTTTCATCCTTAATTTGAGACATGAAATACCAACAAAATCTTGGGATTCCATGTTTTGTATTCCATGTCCTAGCTTCGATTATCCTTTCATCCTTAATTTAAACAGCAACAAAACCTTGTCAGCCAGAACTTATCAGAATGGGATTCCATGTTTTGTATTCCATGTCCTAGCTTCGATTATCCTTTCATCCTTAATTTGAAACAGCAACAAAACCTTGTCAGCCAGAACTTATCAGAATGGGATTCCATGTTTTGTATTCCATGTTCCTATCTTCAATTATCCTTAATTTGAAACAGCAACAAAACCTTGTCAGCTAGAACTTATCAGAATGGGATTCCATGTTTTGTATTCCATATCCTAGCTTCGATTATCCTTTCATCCTTAATTTGAAACAGCAACAAAACCTTGTCAGCCAGAACTTATCAGAATGGGATTCCATGTTTTGTATTCCATGTTCCTGTACATTTCAGATTCAAAAAAAAAGTAATTGGAATCAGATTTGTCACACATATCTGACAAAATGGGATTCTACACATTGGTGATGACACTGAGTGATAGTCCCAATGTTTGGTACACAGATAATTAATTGAGAGTAAACTTTTTGTTTTTCTGTCCAAGAAAAAGTTTTAAACTAGAACTTTCTAAGAAATGTTTTGTGCAACTGTATATTGTAAATTGTTTCTCATCATTGTCATTGCAGTAATAGAACATATTGTTCTAGAGCGGGTAATAAGAAACATCCAGGTATCATGTGTAAACTATTTTATATGTGGATTTGAAGCCTAGTGTAAAATGTTGAAGAGTAATTTCAGTCATTAATTAATTATCGTAAAATACTTGAAAATTAACTAAAAATATTATAGATACAATGGAATGTTACTATTATGCTGGAATTTTCTTATAGCTTAGCTTTAATTAGGAAATATATGGAACTAAAGAATTTCTTTTTATGTATTTTTTTATGACCAGACAATGAGTTTTCAGTTAATATTAACCCTTTTTCTGTTTTAGGTCATTTAATGGTTTTTATGGATAAATTTTTTTGACTGCTTACGCAAGTAGGTATGAGTGAAGCATATCCAGTAGTATTATTGAAAGATAGAAAAACAGTTTTAGAAACTAAAAATTGTAGGTTTTTCTGTTGAGTGAAAGTAATTTAACCTATCGTCATTCATATTCACTTTGAGTGTTATATATGATGCTCATACAAAGCTCTCTTCTAATCTCGTATGTTGAACCAAAACAACCGGTTCCTATTGCCACGTTCACGAATGTCAGCTGCTTATCAAATAGATGTAGCTGTGTATCACATGTCATACCCAGGCACTTTAACATTATGTCCTGTGAATCACGTGGGATGTACAGGACAGATTTAGGGTTAAGTAACAGCAAAAGTAGATAAGTGAAAATAAATGTTTTCACCACTGTATTTGTTGTAACATTTTATAATTTCTCTTTCTGTTCAGCTTTCACCAGCATGATAGCCCTGGCAACAGTAGCATTAGTAAAGGGTAGGGGTCGTGGTACCCCACCTGTGGCAGACATCAGGGGTGTGCCCAACCTGTTTGGTGTGTGTGTGTATTCCTTCATGTGCCACCACTCTCTTCCGTCCTTGATCACTCCCATCAGAAAAAAGAAACGTTTGTTTTCACTGCTAATTGCAGACTACATGTTGATCTTGGCCTTCTACTTCCTACTCTCATTCACAGGAATGTTTACTTTCAACAACCTCCAGGATATGTACACTCTAAACTTTCAACCAAACAAGTGCAGCGATAGTGATACTGTTGTCGAATCAGTGCCCTTTCTTCAGTACTTTCTGTCCTTATTTCCAGTTTTTACCCTCAGTACCAACTTTCCTATCATTGCTATCACACTAAGGAACAATTTGAAATCCCTGTTTCTAAAAGACACCAAGCAGTATTCCTTCTTCTTGGATCACGTTCTCTTCCCAGTAATCACAGTGCTTCCACCTGTGGCCATTGCCTTTGCTACAGAAAGTCTCGAGATGCTAGTTGGAATTACGGGGTCGTATGCTGGAGCTGTTATTCAGTACGTTGTTCCCGCCATGCTGGTTTATTATGCACGCAAAGATTCTCTGACGTCTATAGGGATGGGGGTGAAAAATCAACACTCATCACCGTTTTACCACACTGGCTGGATTGTATTCGTTTGTGCATGGGCAGTTGCGTGTGTTGCATTTGTGACAGTAAACCATATAAGTAATTTGTTGGAAATTTAACTGAATAGACGTAAGACTATTTGTTTTGTACTTATAGATATTGTAATTATCCATGCTTAACAAGAAATATGAAGTTGTTCCTTTTACAATGAGGCTATCTGGTGTATGTAAGTAACATTTTGCTGACCTGGAAGAAAATTTGTTTTTCAATATTGTGTTCACATAAGAAATAAAAGGAAAAGTGAAATTTGGATATAAAACAAATATACTCCAATCCAATCGAGCATGGTAGGAATTTAGGTTAAAAGGGAATGAAATATAACCAGGGCAGTCAGAAACTTCTGTTTCTCTTCACCCCACTACATAAATAGAATTAAATAGCCGAGGCTTTTAAGAATTAATTGCTTATTGTGATTGGAAGTTTAACAGATAATTTTTCCTAATGATGAATTCACAAGTAGTTGGAAGAGGTGAGAGGAGATGTGGAAAAGAAGAGAGATGTGGAAAAGAAGAGAAAGAAGGAGACTTTCGCTGAGTTGAATGATGTCTTCGGAAGTTTTCTTTCGGCGGGACTCGTGAGTCTAAAACAAATATACAAAATTGAATAAGCTATATATATGTGGAACTGACCTGCCATCTGTTGGAACATTCACAAATGAAATAATGATTGTAATTATAAGGGATATCGAATAGATCCAAACTCTTGAGTATTAAATGTTTTAAATAAATAAAAAAATTCCAAGTCTTATGTGAATTGCAATTAGGATCTTCACTCATACATTATCACAGCTGTAAGTTTGTTTCCACAGAATTGGGTACAATCACTCGTGAGAATTGCAGGCTTAATATCATCCTCATTTTTCAGATGTTTAATTTTCTCTCAATTTTTCTTTAGAAATAACTGCATTTCATATAATTTTTCCCTAAATTTGATTTCTAATTCAGACATTGTGCATTTTTGGACCTATGTTATGAATGCAAAAATGGGCATAAATTTGAAGCTGTACCCTTTAAGAACATACTTTCCATATTCAATGACGAGGAACCCACTTTGAGACTAATAATGGCT